CCCCAAAACCCCAAAACCCCAGAAGACAGATATTTGAATAATATAAATTTAGAGATTGAATTGTTTTAATTTTTAATCAATTCGATTTAAGATAGCTATAATATTATTATAATCACTCTGATTGATTAATTTAGATATTCATCAAAGAATCAAATCATCAAGACATCATAAGTCACTAATTGTAAACTTGAGTACCAGGAAAAATATTTTAAGTTTCATGGTTTCTCATCTGACTTGTCCAAATCTTATGTATTCTAGCTCTCTTCTTCCTTACCCTCTTCTTGGTAGTTATTTTTTTGTTGATAATAGGTGAAACTTTAATATGATGTGGTGGAAATTTTCTTAATTCTCTCCATATTTCTAGACTTACTACTTTCCTCATAGTCTCTCACTTATAAATCACTCTGTCTTCGCTCCTCCAATATAGATTTTGTTTTAGCTTAAGATCTAAACTATTCCTTCTGCTTACTAGTTAAAAGAGGAATATTACTACTAGATATTCTTGTATTAATATCTTAGAAGCCTTAAATTTAGTTTAATTTATCTGCTGCATTTATCTTCTTAAACTTTGACATAGGGGTTTATGTTTAGGAGCCACTGTGATTACCTTTTCTCTTGAAAAAGTCAACTCTTTAATTTTTAGGCTTCTCTTATTCAACTATCTCATCTTCTCCTGTAACAGCTGATACCACAGATATATCATCTGGTTATTAATTGTTGACATTTTTCGCTAATTTTGAGTCATTTTTATTAGCTGTAGATAATGACAAAAAGCTCTTTTCTATTTCATCATAATATTTGCTCATATTAGAAAATTCTTTGTTTAGAGTAGGCTTTTCTCCTGAAAATTCTTATGTCTGCTAGTTACCTAGAATGCTATAAGATTTACTCTTTCTGTAAGCATTAATGTTCGGCAAATTCTAGCCTGTAACAGATTTGCTTGAGCTTTTTTAGTTCCCGAGAATAAGAGCTTTAGAAGAATCTTCTAGATTTTCTTCATCCTCATCTTTATCTTCTTTGATTTGACTTAACTGCCTTCTATCTCCACCATAATAGTTGAGGCTCCTTGCAATATGATGTTCTAGGTCTTTAACTCTATCAAATCTTTCTTCCTCGTACTCACTATACTCCTCTTTTATTTCAGAGGATGCTTTTGAATGCTATGATTATTCTCTGTCAAGATCAGGGTTATCATTATCATGCTCGCTCTGACTCATCTCATCCCTAACAGCAGTGGAACTAGATTTAACTTGCATAGTGTTATATGTGTTTTTTAGTTTGATTCTTTCCAATTTATCTGTCAATCCTGATGTTACAAAAGTGCTATCCCATGTTGTTCTCTTTGGCTAGGTTGCCTAAGTAAATGAAAGAGAAACTCGAGGAGGAGGTGAAGGGGCTAAAGATTAAATTAAATCTTAAAGTATTTACTATTACTTCTACTGTGCGAGGTCTTATAATGGTAAAGTCTATGTCTAAGTTTGGTATCTACGACAGTTTTATCCTCGACATCTTCGTTAAATACCATCTCTACAATCTCTTAGTTTTCTATAGAAGTAAAACCCTAAATATTATTACCATATAGATCTTCCTCCTGATGGAAGACAGTTGATTGGAAGTAGGCTTCCCTGAGTAATTTATTCTTTTTAATGACAACATCAGTATCAACCTTAGATGAGCAAACTTATCTGTCTAATACGAGTCCTCCAAGCTTAGCAGCACGGTTTTTCTCTGGATGATCTTCCTCGTAGATGTAGGAAAAAGATAATGAAGGCAATCTAGAGATTCCAAGAAAGTCTTCTTTAAATGATTTCACTTGAAGCTTTTTAAAAGCTTTTCTAAGATTGCCTTTTCTGTTGTGGAAAAATTGACAGGTCAGAGCTACGTGGCCTTTCCTCCCACAAATGTAGCACTTAATGTTTATTATATAGTAGTTTTTTTCATCAATAAGGGAACTACGGATCGTATGATATGCTTACTATAGAGTATTATTGATTTTATTTCCTTGAGGATATTCTTACAATTCCATTTATGTAGTCTTCGGCGACTTTAACAAAATCCCTTTTACTTATGCAATATAGCTCGCAATAATCCCTAGACTTAGCTGAGAGTAATCTTGGATTATCTGTAAAAAAGCCGATTTCACCAAAATTATCACCAACTCCCAAATCGATAAAGTAAGAGTAGGATGCTTTATGGATCATTCCTGTTTTTCCTTAGACAATATTATATAGATGCTTTGACTCATCTCCTTCCTAATAAACATTATGAAATGTAGTAATACCTAGAAGATAAAATCATCAATAGCATAAGTCTGCCTTTAAAAATAAAATGTTAACTCACTGAGCAGATCTAAGCCAAAAGGCTCGAAAAAGATCATCTTTTACAATATTCTCCCGTTAAGATAAACTGTAATTTTCTCTCTTAGATTCTAATTAAGCATAGCCATAACCTCCTTTTCATCTATCTTTATTTCTTTCTTTGATTCCCATACATATTCTAAATACCTTCTTATTCTCATACGGAGGTCGCCAGGTACCTGTTTTGATAACATAAATTAAGTGACAAAGTTCATTTTCTCTTTGTAATTTCTAGCAAGTAAGTTATATCTGCTCACAAGAGTGCTTATAGTATTCAGGGTAAAAGAGAATGATGCTGACGCAACAATCATAGCAACCATGGCATAAAGTCTTTCATTTGTTGTCATTGGTGTTATATCTCCATATCCAACTGTTATCATTGTGGTGAAAGCCCAATAAAGAGAAGTTGTATACTAGCTTACAACTTCATCATCTTATACACCAGCGTCATTAATCCAGCATATTTCAACATCATCCATACAGTTTTTCCCTATGGACCAGAAAAAACAAGCAAGCCAATGTGAAATGAAAATTATTTTCAATGCCAATTGGAAAAAAGTGATCAACATGTTCATAAAGTCCGTTACAATGTGTTCTTCAACCTATCAACTTTGTTTAGTGAATAAAATTTATTTTTACTTTCATAAGATACTTCTAAACCTTAAATACTCTGAGTAGTTTGAGCATTTTTAGCATTCTAGCAATTTTGAAGAGTCTAAGCAACCTCGGTGTCCTGTATATCGGATTCTTAACGGTTTATGCTTCTTCCTAAAGGATATTTTTTTAAAAAAATTAATTACATTTTCTAAATCAAAGATGGAAACTCCTTGAGTCATTGCTAATATCCAAGAATAGGGAAAACAAGCAATTATGTCCATAAAAAACCTAATAGTGTAAAAGATTTTATTTCTTACCATGACTTTAGATAACTCATAACTATTTCCTTTCAATTCATTACCAGTAATCCTTTGCTAATGATCCCCGTTGAAAAGTTTAGAACAACATCCATCAGGAAAAAGCAGTCCTGGAATAAATCTACGTAGACGAATTCTTAGCTCAGAGTAGGTTCAAATGTAATCTTGAATGGTAGCATTAAACTTTGATAAAGAATGAAGAGAAAGGAAAATAGATCCCAAAATGCTCTAAGCTAAGAATCTGGGAATAGAACTAAAAAGCTTCTCTCATAACTTAGCCTCTCATTCATTGACATCATGTCTTCCTCTTCTTCTAATTCTTTGTGGCGATCTTCTGAAATATCATCTATTCTCAGCGATGTTTTAGTTTTCTGGTGCATTGCTCCATTAGGAATGTTTAATGGATTAAAAGTATCAATTCTCTTCTAATTCTAAGAAATAGTTAAACTTCGAATAATTTAAATACCATATTAATCGAAGTCGAATGTTCGTGTAACATTTTCTTGGCATTTTCTTTCAACAAAGAAAGCAAATTCTTCGTTGGTTATCTTTTTGTTTTTTTGTCTTGAATAACCCTTCTGAAAAATAGAGCATATCTCTTATTTTTCTGCATTGATTCTTTCAAATTAGTTGGTAATTATTGAGGTCCTCTCTACCTTTTCAAATTTGTGTTACTTCCTGGTTATTTATCAATCATCGATACTAAAAGTCTTTGAGACTATTGCTTTTTAGATTATTTTGGTTTTCGCTATTTCTGTTTGTTTTCTTAGCCAAGCATTTCAGCGAATTGAGGAGTCATAGAGTTTCCTCTAAAATAGTCGATAAATTGCTTATTATCATTTCTGTCATTTTAGTAATTATTTATATCATGTCACCCAACATAACTAGATTCACTGATAGCTGGTGAAGAATTTGCTGGGCTAAAATTATGTGATTCTCCAGTGAGATTTTGCATATTATAACGATCAGTGAATTCATTTGATCTTAAATCCTACTATGGAGAATCCTCTGGAAGCTAAATATGTAGACTCTTCAACTTCTCTTCTCGAGTCTTTTTAATAATAGCCCTCTCAAAAGTTTTCATACTTTAAATAAATAGCTTTGATTTAGCTTAAAAAATAATTAATAGTAATTAAAAAATCACCGTTTTTTATACATTATTTTAAAAATGAAAAATACAACACCTAACAGAAGAATCAATAATGAATCTTATCAATAGGATGCTAATGGAAAATAAAACCTAGAATAGTCGAAAAATAGCCAAATAGTAACTTAACAAGGCTATACAGAATTTTTTTCTTGGGGAAATGACGAGAATGGTTAACTAGGACATGGTTAGGAAGATGCTAATCGAAAGAAAATCTTTAATCTACCAAAAAGCTTGAGTTTTGAAGTACTGATCACTCAAGTAGCCTGTGGTTATTCACATACAGCCTTTATTTCAAGTAAATATAATTATATTAAGTCAAATTCTAGAACAGGGTTATGTATTCTCTTTTGGAAGTAATACTGATGGATAGCTAGGAGTTAACGACCATGCAATTAAGTTTTCAACCGCTCCATTATTAGTTTCTGACTTGATATCAATGCAAACTACTCCAGTTCAGATTTCTTGTGGTGGTTATCATACAGCAGTATTGACTACAGTTGGAGAAGTATTTGTATGGGGTAGAAATCTTTAAGGCTAGTGCGCCAGGTCAATAAACTACAACTAATTTTTGTTCACACCACATAAACTTCACACGGACACTCCTAACAAAACATTTAGAAGTGTTGATTGTGGTGATTAGCATACAGCTGTAATTTCTAAAACAGGAGAATTATTCACTTTCGGAGACAACAGTGAAGGCTAGTTAGGATTAGGAATTGAATTCAAAAATTCGATAGATAGAGCTGCATTAGTAACTAACATCTCAGAAGAAGCTATTCAAGTTTCTTGTGGATATAGACATACTCTTGTATTGACTGATTAAGGGACTGTTTTCTGTATGGGGTCAAATAAAAAATTTGAGTTAGGAAACTTGAATTTATAAAAATCATCTCTTCCAATTAGAGTCAAGACTCTGGATATGTTTAAAATAGAGAAAGTTTATGCAGGTGGATTCTCAATAGCCATTACAAATACTAAAGAAATGGTAGTTTGGGGTTCAGGAGATTTTGGAGTGATATAATAACCGCAGAAAATATTCATTGAAGATGTTCAAATTGCTGAAATAAGCATTAGTAAAAATATTGATTCATTTGCAGCAGTAATAGATTCAAACGGATATGTGTATACCTGGGGTGGTAATCAATTTGGATAGCTTGGACATGGAGATTTCAGACTAAGAAAACTTCCTACTAAGGTACATTAATTAAGGAAAAAGAAAGTTAGATAACTAGTTTGTGGTGGAGGCTTCGTAGTTGCACTAGGAAAGGATGTTCCAGATGGCACAAAGTAAAAGCAATCAAAACATAAAGAATCAATTCCAGAGCAATAATAATTATCAGAGCAACCATCAGCAAGGTCTAGATCTTAAGTTACTTTTGGTGGTCGAACTTAAAATCCATAAAACTCATCACTTAGAAGGAAAAAGAATCCTGAACTAGACAAGTCTCACTTGACCACTATTGCTGAATCTAATGCAAGGTCTACTATTTAAGTTAACAATGAATCTAGACATTTACATCATAGTCAGGAAAATAATAGATTCTCACCAGCTAGATATTAAAGAGAATAGCCTATATCATAGATGCCAAATAGTCCTCCAAATGTTGAACGCAATCATTTTGAGAATTAGAGAACTGTTAATGAGCTTTCAGTTGAGAGATAGAAGAGAATATATCTTGAAAGAGAAGTTAAAGATAAAGAGTATGAACTCTAAGGTATGAAGCAATAGTCATAATTAATAAATGACTTGCAGTAACAGTTATTAATGTACAGAAAAGAGAATGAAATAGCTAGAGACACTTTAGAGAAAGAATAGCAAAATTCATTTAAATTGGTATCAGATGTCCACAAAACCATTTCTGATAATAAACTCTTAAGAGAAGCACTTGATGATAAATAAAGAGAAATACATTTACTCTAAGTAGAAAATTAAAGATAGGTCGAACGAACAAGAGAAATTGAATATGAAAACGACAAGCTAAAACAAAATTCTAATTATATAGTGTCAAAAACTGAATAGGATCTAATTTAACTACAAAATTTACTTTCAAAGTGTGAAGATACTATTGCTCATTAGAAAAACCATATTATGGATCTTGAAAGATAGCTACTTAATAAAATTGAGCAATAGAAAAATTCTGATATTAAATTTGAAAAGCAGCTTGTCGAGAGTTCTGATTCTAAGAGACTCGTTATTAATCTCAACGAAAAAGTATAGCAACTTGAGTATTAGGTTGATACCTAATAAAAGGAAAACGATGACTTAAAATATGATAATACTATTCTATATGATAAAAATGTTTAAAAGGATGAGAGAATTATCCACTTAAACAATTAAATCGAAGACCAAAAAGCCATTACTGATCAAGAAAGAGCTAAGCTCGCTGCTGCAGAACAGGATAAGCAATACTTATAATAAAAGATAAGAGATCTTGAAGATCAACTTATGATATAATAATCAAAAGCTGACCAAAGAGACAAGAATATAGATGAGTTAGTTAGGGAAACTGATAGATTAAGACATGAATTAGAGAATTAGATAGTGCAGAGAGATGTTAGCAATGACAATCTAAAGAGAGCATTTGATGAAAAACATTACGAAAATGAACATCTAAGACATAGTCTGAATTCTAAATAAGAGGAAATATAATCTCTGAATAGGGTACTCTAAGAATAAAATCAGCAGAGTGCTGATCTAGCAGATACAATTAGAAAACTAGAAAATACTATTAAGGATGTAGAGGATAAAAACAGAAAGTTAGTAGATTTATTGAACTCTAGCATCTATAACAAAGCAGAATAGTACAAGGAAAGAGTATTAAGTAAATTGCAAGAGAGATCTACTCCAGGAACAGCGGTAACACCAAATAAAACCTCTGGAGGAGGGAGTCTTATAAATCCTGTCCATATTAATGCTGAGGTATCTGACTTCAGACATGACTAAGCTCCTAATAATTAAAACAACCTGCCTTCTCCATTAAGACTTAAAAAAATCATGGCTGATGAGCAAGAATAGGTCTTAAAGGATAGAGAAAGATTAATGAAAATGGCTGAGGGTCTCACAAAGAACCATGATTTATCTAAATCTCAAGGCCCTTCAACTATATCTCAGAATAATGACTATCGACAAAGCATTGCAAGATTCGCCTCTCCGTTCTCAACTCATAATGATTCAACAATAAATCAAAGCAGATCAGTTCATTTTGACAATAATCTAAACTTAAATTCTAAATTTAACGGGGTCCCTCAAGCAGAGCCTTAGATGGAATCATTAAATGCTAGATTAAGATTCTCTGAATTGGGAAGTTTTGGAAACCTCCCAAATAACAATAAACAAGCAAATGAACAGGCAAGTCCTTAAAGAATAGCAGATATTTTGAAGCAATCCTCTCCACTCAGGTAAAAAATATCATTAGGTTCAATGAGAGACAGATAAAATCTTGATGAAAGTAGATTAAATGATCATACTCCTAATAAATCTCTGTCCAAGAAAAGTATATTTGAAGATGAAAATGGCAGCATGACAGCTTCTAAAATAACACAAGTAAGTTTATATAGATTAACTTTACTCAGAAATTATTATCCAATGAACTAGAAGACCTTAGATTTAAAATGCAATAGCAATAGCAAGAAAAAGATGAACTTGCTGAGAGACTTAGTAGATATGAATCTAATAAACTTAGACAATGAAGCCATCTTCCTAATTTGTATAATCAACAATGGATTAAATTTTACGATATATATAATAATATTATTCGAATTTCATTATAATATTAAACTAATTCGAATAATTAATCACCATGGGGTTTTGGGGTTTTGGGGTTTTGGGGTTTTGGGG